CAACAACAGCTTTGGTGATGACTTCCACAGCGATGAATGGTTTAAGTAATCGGTTTGGATTGAATTTTTCTATTCACCGTATCCAGCACATATGGTACGATATTAGTTGATTTTCCACGACACGGTATTATTACATTTGGCAATCAGCGAAAGAGAGAGCGGCGGTATGAAGGAGACGAATCGAAGAGAGTGAGTTAATATTTTTATTTTTGCCGTTCTAATTCTCCGTGATTTTATTGCGAAAGAGGGATCATTTTTTGGTTGATTTGACATTGCCAAACAAAAGACTTTTTCAAATGAATGAATTGAACGCTAAAACATATAAAATGGGGTTTGATGACAGCCAGTAATAAACAACTTAATCAATTGCAAACGCCTTGTGTGTAGTATTACAATCGCAGAAATCCGTTTTTGTTTTGTTTAAATCACGGAAAACCAAACAAATGTGACATTAATGAATAAATTATTATTATCCGACATCAGAGGTCGTACTTTTTTCGTTCACTTTTTTTTTCGTCAGAAACATTTTTCGAATCCGTTGAAAAATGATAAATTTGAAATGCCGTAAAATGATAAATAAAAATTCTTTTGTGTCAAATCGATAATTGCATTTGGTTGAATTGATGCGCATGAATTAAAATGATTTGGTAAAGGACCCGACCAACTCGGCTTGAAATATCTGGTAATGAATTGTGATCGACAAAATACCATCGACCAAAAATATGAATAATTCGACAGCTATGGAGAAAAACGAATTGTAACTATATTCTCCATCAATTCGTCTGTCAAAACTTAGCATCGATACAATCAATCATGATGATTGGGAATGGATCGACAACTTTGATGTACGTACCGAATGTAGTCGGCTTAGAACACACACACACACATCTAGAGAGAAAGAGACAGAGAGAAACACATCGATAAACACGTGCGCGTTCACATCTCACGAATAAATCTCGTTTGATGCGATGTAATTTATGATATGGATCGCATTTTTTTCTCGAATGTATCTGTTTTAATTCCATTTTTCCGTTTGATGTAAAATGTTAATTTTGTTTCAAAGACATGTATCATGTGCGGCTTCATAGATCCTCTACTTTTGGTGTGTCGTTGTGTGTGTCTGTGCCAAAAAAAAACATAATTTTTCATGATTATCAATTGCGCGTTCTCTATTACCCGAAATTTGATTGGTTCGACGAATGTGACTGTGTGTGGCTGTTGCGTAGGATACTTCGACCTTTGCCATTCGACGAAAATAAATTAATAAAAATAATTGTGAACAAAATAAATTCTGTATCGTTTCTTTCAAATATTTTCATCAATGATCATGATATTCAAAATGGCCGAAATATTATACTTTTTTTTTATGTGTGACACAGCAACAGTAAGAGAGAGAGAGGCTGTGTGTGATAGCGAGGACGTACATTTTCTAGCATTGAGTCGTGCAATCATTGAAATTGAAATCGTTATGGCAGCTCTTATTTCTTGTTCCCCGTCTCATGACCGTTCGTTTGGCTGTTCCTTTCATAACCCGATTCGCTTATGCACGAGTAACGTGATTTATCATATATTTTTTTTGAGAGACTTTATTTTTTCTGCCGCTGTTGCCTGTCGGAATGTTCCAAATGTTATTTAATGTGGTTGATAAATACCGCTAATGATATTTAAATGGCATCGCGACAATCGAGGAACCAGAATGAAAATATTGCGATTCATACACAAACTGAATTGTAACAAATGATGTGAGAAATAAACCCCAATGAAGAGAAAGAGAGAAAAAGACCATAACCATGAACGAATTTATTTGAATGTCGGACCATTTTGGAATTTAATGATTTTTCACTTTTTATAGAATGTGTGCGTCGAAATTAAAAGCGCGACCACAGCAGAATGTTGCCTGCTCAGAATCAGGAACCAAACACTCATTCAGAGCGGGTTTTTTTCATTCTTTCGAGTGTTTATCGTTGGCATCCACAAACTGACAAAATGCGTAAATTCAAGCGAAAAACATCCGTCGTCGTGACCATACAATATGGAAATAAGCCGATTGAATTCCTAAGCTTCGCTTTCAATTTTCGCACAAGGCACATGCACGCTCACCAAATTTAATGAGAGTGAGAGAGAGAGAGAGAGAGAGAGAGAGAGAGAAGGCAAAACAACGCCACTTTGCTGTCTATCGAATTCACTCTCATTCGCTTGCTAACTCACTCTTCCTCTATCTTTGATTGCTGGCACTCGACTCGGTCCGCGTGAGCTAGTAGTTATGCTCTTTATAGTTCTCAACCAAATCACTGGCTGCCAATTTCATATTTTGTGCGCACATATATACAAACACACACACACACACACACTCGCACCACTCAGACCCATTCAGACGAGCCAAAGCTCATTTACGTTTTGAATACCGGATACTTATCAAATAATTCACGCGACTAATAGGCCATCATATTTCTGCTGAACGTTTGATAAACGGATTAAATTTTATTCATACAATTCAGCATATTGATGGATTGGTCGGGCGCTCTCTCTTTCCCCCACTCGCAGCATCATTTAACATCGTCCCGGCTATTCATTTCGTTTTACATACGAAAATCAAAATCGGTCGAAAATATGTTGCTGGCCATAAAAATGGTCTTGCACACACATTGTAGCTCAACGCGCCGGAATAAATATTTTCAAGTGAAAAAAAAAAAATAAAGAAAAATACGGTATGAAAAGTGTTGACAAAATTACTGTTTACATGAAAAATGAATATTTTTTTTCTGCTCAACAGTATGAAAATGAATGATGACAGAACAAAGTGATTTTCACATAGGCAACGCACAAAGGTGGCGTTACTTTAATACTTATTGCGCACAGCATTTTATCAAAGCTTAATTATGGTATTAATTAAAAAAAATGAAGAAAGAGAATAAGTGAGGCATCGACAAAGACACAATAACTGCATATTTTCCACTTAAATCACACCATTTTTTGCGTAATCAAATAAGCGAAGTGCACGCGCGCGCTCTCTCTCTCTTGCTACACACTCACACAAAGGCAAATAATGTTTATTTTTTCCTTTCTTTTCTTCGCTCGACTTGTTGTTATTTCATTTCTTTCCCTTTAATGTAATTGCTTCATTCTCTTTCCCTCTTGCGGGCAATACGGCTTGAATCTTGACACAGCCACAAGACTTTGTAAATCGTGTGCAACAACAATAAACTTGTTTTCAGCTCAGTTCCATTGTTCTGAAATGCCAAACAAGTCACTCATATCACGTTCACATGCATCTATGTTATTCTAACATTTCTCCGATTTGTTTGTGTATATTTTTTTCTTCAACTGTTTGCTTTGTGTTATCAAACATTCACATCTCTCTCATCACTCTTAGATACACTGTTATTTGTTAAGAAGCTGAAATCTCTCTTTTTTCAATTTTACAATTTTCCTTGTTTGTAGCATTCATCCAGCTTTTCTTGAGCTTTTAATTAATTTTTCACTTGCATCGAAATGCACGCAAACGGCGACCACTTTGAAAAAGAAAAAAGGCCACAAAAGAGGCTTTTGGCAACAAAGCACCGCAAATTCGGTCAACACTCACTCTTTGCATTTATTTTTTGCGTGCATCTTTAACGAGAACGGTTTTTCTGCGCTTCTAATTAAAAAATCATCTAACCCAATTAAGGAATTTCATCGAAATGATGAATTCACAATGCAAACGGCATTTAATTTAAATATTACACTTGACGAATTTTTTGAAAGAATTAAAAATGTGTTGGCTGAAAACTAACCACATTTCACGGCGGTCAGTAAATTGACATGAATGGTTACTTTGAAATTGATTATGATGTTTTTGGAAGGAGAAATCGTCGCCGATCATTGGACATTCCAGTACTTTGAATTATACAAACAAAAACACTTGTTTTGTTGCGGTTTAAAGAAAAATGCGTCAAGTACTCAAGGTTATGACAAAAATTGACATCATAAACAACATTTCGAATGTAAGGTGAATGAGGGACGACAATCTATTTTCGACTTGCGGAGGTTTTTTGGTCATTTGTTTGTGGCTTTGTGGGGCACAACGATTATCTCAGCTAATGTTCCGCAATGAAACGTGAAGTAAAAATGCGTTGACAAGTGATTGATGATGATATTTTGATGAATTGTTACTTATTTTGTACAATTAATTTCGGCATTCATCAACTTTTTTTCTCGTAGACCCGAAAAAAGTCGCCAAACCAAAGTTCTTTTAAGATTTTAGTGCAATTTTTTTATTGTAAATTCAATTGTGTTTTAGTTGGAAGTTAATAAATAGTACAAATTTCTCGAAATTCGTATGACCAATCGTAAATATCGAATTGCACGGGGACGATGTATTGATTAGAATTTAATTGAAGAATGCCTGCAGCTGAATACGAATAAAGTATGCACTAACTATGTTTGAACTTTTTTTAAAGATTCATATGAAGTTTGGACAGGAAGTTACTGCCAAAAATCAAAATGCTGACGTATGGTTAAATGTTCACAAATTATTTTCTGATGTTGATGTTCTGCATTGTTATTGATGTAATGTGAACACAATACACGCTTGATTGACGTGCTACGCCCTCTTTGAACTGACTGGAGTTGCTTATTTTCTTTTCACATTTATCGGGTTTCGTTACACAATTTTCTGTTCATTAGACCAAACGCATGTGTGAACAATTCGGCATTTCAAATTTAATTTTGAGCTTCTGCCCTTATCTTAACTTCATTTTCACGAATCAATCAAATGAAAGAACGCTGAATGTAATTAGAGATAGCCGTCTCGAAATCGCAAATTAATTTCACGTTAAATATTAATTCGATTTGACTGCATTCCATGGGGGCAGTTTCAGTTTTTAGATCCTATTTGCCACCTTTTATAATTCTGCTTTATAAAATACGATTTTTTTCTAAACATTAGATTTCTTTTAGACCAAAAGCTTCAGAAGTATCATTTTTAAATTTTTCTCTTAAAAAATAAAATAAATGAATTCTGCGAAATTTGTAAATGTATCACCTTTATTCATATATGAGCTCGACGCAACTTCTTGTGAGAATCAAAAAACATTTCAGTATTTATTGCTTATCTTACTGACTAATTGAGATGATATTATTTTTCATACACGTGTACAAACAGAAAAAAAGGAATAACCATATCAGTCAAACTTTTTCAAGTCAGTTTTAAATTCATTTAGGACAACCAAGCATGGTTTTTTCGGTGTATGTTTTAACATATTATAGGAAAATTCATGAGCCTGATTTTTAGCGGATATCCAAGCAGCTCCATTTTTATCCACATTTCCATACGCAATCGCTTCATTTATGATTGAATGTAAAATGCCTTTTTCATCCAGAAGTTCGTCCATCTTTTTACGTGCAAACATTATATTCGATTGAATCATGTAGTTCACTAAAAACTTTCCTTCCCATTTATTGATCATTTTTTGAAATTGGTCAAGTTGTGCTTTATCCTCTCTCTCAGTGACTTTTTGCAAGTAATCTTCGTAAGTTAGGTCAACCAAAAAAGTACAAGTCTTATAACCGTCAAACAAGAGCTCCAAATCACGTAATACTGGGTGAAAATTGGATATAAAGTCTTGCTGTATGGATTCCAATAATTTGATCCCGGGATGATTATTGATGGCAGTTTGGATTTCATTATCGAGTCTAATTTTCGCAACCTTGATGGCTTCTAATTCTTTAGTCGAATTCGAATTCTTACGAAACATCGTTGGCTCTTCACTTAGCACCAAATTAATCTATTTGAGTAAAAAAGAATTAACTTTGACTATTTAAAAAAAAATCAATTTTACACTTACGGCACTTGTAAAAGTGACAACCAAACAGAAAACCTGTATCATGTTGCTTTAAAACTGTAAAAAACAATAATAACGACATTACCACGGACTGATCTCTATTTATACGTTTCGCAATTGTATGCAAAATGTTGATTTGACGTCAATAATAAAGTTTCTGTAGATAAACGATTGTAATGAATAATAAATAATTTTTTGAAACGTTTATCGTTAGAGAACATGTGTTTTATTATTACAATTAATTTATGGCTGTTGAAATTCATTTACAAACTCAAATTAAAACATGTCTAATTGACTGTTTTCAAGTTTAATTAAACACAGATACTGTTTTTCAGATATTACACTAATCGAATTGTTTCAAGTCTTTCGAAAATGCGTCAAGTAATACATTGTACTTTTCCTTAGGTACATTCAGAACAACACTAGTATCCATTTCGAATGCTTCTCTTTTGGCTGTTGTCCAGGTTTGTTCATTTACTTCAGAGGCCCTTTTGTACTTCTTCCCTTGTTCTAGCATCCAAAATAATATGCTGTTTGGATCCGCAAGCTGCTGAATCTTTGTTTGCACTAGTTTTATATACGGTCCAATCAAGTAGTTCATCAAAACTTTTCCTCTCCATGTCTTGATCACCGCGTTGAAATTATCTAGCTTTTTTTTTATCATTTGTGTCCGTCACTTTTTTCAAATATTCCACGTATTTTAAATCAAAAAATTTGCAGCAATTCATAAACAATCTATTTAAAACTTTTAGATCCTTTATTACAATATGAAAATGCGTTTTGAAATCCGATCGGATATTCTTTAAAAGTTGGTTTTTCGGTTTTTCATTGATTGCAGCTTCAATCATATTGTCAAGAGTAACCTTTCCATTTTCGATGGCTTTCATTTCTTCAGTTAGTTTTTTTGGAAACATTGTCGAATTACCAAACACCAAGTGAATCTTTTGGAGAAAAAAGTCGAATAAACTTTCTTGAGATAAATGTAATCAAAAATTTAGAAACAGAACATTCATCTTGGTTAAAATACTGTGAAACCAAGTGGGAAAGACTTTTCGATATTGCTATGAAATGATCTCTACTTATACGTTTTGAAATTGTGTGTTAAGTGCTATTTGACGTCAATTGTACGAAAATATGCAGGTCGACTATCCAAACTATTTCTTTATAAAAACATGTGTTTTTGGAACACATTTTGACTTTTATCCTCTTATTCTAATAAGGGAAATTATGATTGTAAAGAGTAGCCCTAATATCTAATAATAATACCATCTATACAACAAACAAAAACAAACAAGCTGCCAAGAGCTCAAAATGCGGACTTACAATCTTTAGTTGTTTGCGCAGAATTTTAACTACATGTACGCATGTTCTTCAAAACTGTTCTCATCTAAATCAATACAGCTCCGTACATATCCACGTAAGTGCGAATTTTAACCATTTGCACTGCAGTGACCATAAAAATGGATGAATTTCTTTGGTCAGAGTCACTCTCAATGAATGTCCATGTTTTGTTAGTATGTATTGCGCCTTAGAAAGTATGTATTAAAAAACAATAATTGGGATCTTATTGGATCTTGTTTATTTCTGAACAGGTTTTACAAGTATATTTTATCGAAACATGATTAAACATCAAATTATCAAAATCATTAGTCAAATTGTTTCAATTCCGATTCAAATTCTTCAACTAGTGGTAGGCATCTATGTTTCGGCAAATTGAGTAGAATATGGTAGCTCATCTCCCAAGCATTCCCTTTTGCAGCTTCCCAATCATCTTTGAATATTTCAATTCTTTTATGGTATTTTGCTTCATTTACAACACAATTCAATATGCTATTTTCATCTTCAAGTCCGGTCACCATCTTTTGTATGTACCTGATATATTAATATGCAATCTAATCTTTTTTGGTAACGTTGTTATTAACTGTTTCATCATACCTGATATATCCTTTAACCATGAAATTAATCAAAATTCTTCCTTCCCATTGCTTGGCCAGAGTTTGAAAGCGTGCCAACTTTTCTTTGTCATTTGTAGCGCTCAATTTTTGGAAATATTTTACATAAGTTGGATCGAACATTTCGCAACATGTTGTATACATTTTGTGCAGTCGGCATACTTCATTGAACGTAGAATGAAATTTCATTATGAAATCCATCCGGACCGATTGCAAAGCTGTGTTTCCGGGATGATCATTGATCGCAGTTTGAATAATGTCATCAAGTTTATTTTTACCATCCATTAAAGTTTTCAACTCGTCATTTAGGTTCCTACGAAACATTGTTGTTTTGTTCTCGCCAAACACTAAGTCGATCTGTTTTTTTATAAATTTAAACAAAAAAGTTTAAAAAAATAAATTTGAAGGGTTAATGTGCTTTTCAACTTACGCCATTTGAGAAAGCAGCAACGAAAAACAAAACTTGAATTATCGATTTCATCTTGCTAGAAATGCGTCAAAACACTGTTTGATCTAAGTAGCAATGATCTATATTTATACGCTTCGCAGCATTGCACAAAATGTTATTTTGCGAGAAAAAAAAAATGAATTACAAGTTGTTTTTCTTTAAGAAGAAACTTCGTAAAAATGTCCATACTTTGAACTCACATGTGTTCAGATGACTCTGACTACAATGTATTGTTGAATACGTCAATGTAGAAAAGACGTCAATGATCATTCGATGATAATAAAATTGAATATTGTCGTATTATAGAATATTTGGGACAATTTTTGGGCTTGAAAACACATTTTTTTATTCTGGAAATTTCATTTTATAATAATTATTTTAAAAATTATAATTTTAATTTATTTCTCATTTTATGTTATTCATCATCGTCATCATCGTCATCATCGTCATCGTCAAATATTTCCAGTCCATCTAAAAACTCACTTAATATTTCTTCGCATTTCTTTTTCGGTGTATTCTTTACAAGGTTACGATGAATGTCATCAGCTTCATTCTTGGCATTTTTCCAGGTTTTCTTCAGCGCGTCAGTGATTCTATTCTGTTTCGCTGCACTTAGCATTGCGTGCAAAATGCTGGTTTTCTTGACTAGTTCGTTCAGCTTCGTCTGCACATGCTTGAGATAATATTTAATCATGAAATTCATCAGAACTTTACCTTCCCCTTGTTTGACTACGTTTTTGAAGCTCTTTAGTAGTTTTTTATCATTCTTGTTGGTCACTTTTTGTAAATCTTCTACATAAATGTTGTCAAAAGCTTCGCAACATAAGGTGTACAGTTGGTGCAAATCCATTAGCTCATTCACTACAGGATGAAAATGTTTATTGAAATCCCGTTGAATAGATTCCAAGAGGTTGTTTCCAGGATTTTCATTAATTTCCGTTTGAATTATAGTATCGAGTTTGACCTTTCCAGCATTTACGGCGTTCAATTCGTCAATCAGTTTTTCTCGGAACATTGTATGATTAGCAAACACCGTTGATATCTGTTTTTTTAAAAAGAATAATTATTGAAATTGAGAAAGAGAGAGAGCTTTTAGGAACTTTATGAAACACAATTTTTTTAACTTACGGTATTTGATAGAGCGAAAACCAAAAAGATAGCTGGTATTAGGGGTTTCATCGCGACAAAAATATTACAAAATACTGTGGCACCTGAATATCACGAACTGTATTTATACCTTTGTTATTGAACATTTTATCTTGAAAACCAACAACGCAAATGAATAATGAACCTTACACGTGTGTTTTTCATATTAGAAAAATGTTCTGTTACTGAGGCTGAGAGAATTTTATTTGCTAATAGAGATGACTTGTTTGTTTTCCAATAAAAACAGTGGCAACATGCGTTATAAAATTAAATTTAAAAAAACCACGACTCAATCAAATCAAGAATCCAATCAACGTTATCAAGATGCTAGGTGGCACAATCTAATAAAATATTTTGAATGTTACGTTCTAAATTCAATTTGATTGAAAATTCATGTCAAAAATGTGTATTCATTTTAAATGGAAATTCATTTAATCAAGCGCGGTGACTTTTCAATATTGCATTTTGACCGTCTCTGTCAGTTGAGCACTTCCTCTCAACTAAAAATTCAAAACAATTAGTTGAAAAAACGGCTATTTTCGCATTTTTCTCTCTCTCCAGGCTATTATTGAAGTTTGTAAAAATCCATTCGCAAATAGTTGTACAAAGCATGAAAATTGGTTTTTGGTTAAAAAAAAAGAGACAGACATCAAATTTTTTTCAATTTTGTAATTTCAAATAAGTTTTGCGTTTCGTTCGACTTTGTCCAATGCGATTTTTTTTTTAATTTGGTACCAATAAATGTCAAAGCCAAACGAAAAGGTTTTCGAGCGAGCACACAAAAAATGTATTCAATTAGACATTTTAGTAAATTTACGGTCCCGTTTGCAGTACAACAACACAGTATGCCTTGCAATGCAGCCAACGAACGAAGAGATTTGTTTTCTCGTTGTTCTCGATCGAGCCAAAAGTGCTTTGTCGGCGTTTTCATTATTCCATTAGAGCCAATGAGAAATGCGACTTACTGAGTATAGCAATTTTTGTCGAGTCGGTCACAAGCGCGTAATATAAAAAAAAACCATAACGTATGAGAACCGTTTAAAAAAAAGGCAACGAGTGAATGAGTAAGTATAGTCGTACAAAGGAAGTGTGGGAGCTGGAAAGTCGAAGCGATTGTGTATTTTGTTTTATTCGGTCATTGGCGTTTGTGTTCGCCATTGTGTGTGATTGCATTCGGCAACTACTTTGAGCGAATTTTTGCAATGATGGAACAATTTGAACAGAATCACAAATCTCTCTCTCTTTCTCTCTCTCTCTCTCTCTCTCTGTCTGCATAGTGCCCAGTCTGCACATGTTTGAAAATGACAAAAGAACTAAATAAAATTGTGATGAATGCGCGAACATGGTCGAAGAAAAGAGTGTGAGAGGTAAAAAAAGAAGAAAATTGTGCTTGTCAGTGTGGGACGGTCAACGAAGATAGAGTAGTGAATATATTCGCTGAATCTTTTATTTGACGATCGACACAGAGGAATATAAAAAAAAAACAGAAAGACCCCGAACTTTTTTAATTTGATTTTCTTTGGATACTCCAATTTTGCACATAAGAAGATTAGACGAGACAATAAAAACGATTAGCTTTTTTTCTCAACTGGTAGCGAACAACTGATGTCGACGATTGGATGGTTTCTATCATCGTCATCATCCTTAAAATGGAATTGGTTTCTCTCTGACGAAAGCAACTTATTTCCGAACCATTTTTCGGCTATTTGCTGTGCAAAGCAAATGAATGGCAACACATTTTTCTCCGCTAGTTACCGCTTTTTTTCGTTCTCTCATTCGTTGATTCAAAGCATTTTTCTACAAAATGCCATAAATAGTCGCCATTTATATCATTACATATTTATCCAATTCTCGTTTAAGTTGTCAAAAAGTATAATATTCGTTACCTTAACAAGAATCCCATGTGAATTTGCGTACATTCACCAAGACGTCTAGCAAAAATATACGAAATAAAAGAGAATTGTGGCGAAAACAAGAGAAAATTGAGAAAGATAGAGAGGAGAAATTTGCAAAACAAGAGTCCAATGTAAGTGAAAAGGAAAATCAATTAAACGTTGTTAGGCTTCACTACATTGCTGTTCGCCTTAAGCCTCTTTTTCTTCATCACCATCGTACTCAATCGTCGCTATTTCACTGCCTTTCATTCTCTCTGCTTTTTTTCGTTCACAAAATATGTAATTTCCTTTTTAATAGCTTTGCGCCAGCCGGTTGGCTCAATTTATTTGGAATTTGCACAAATTGATTGGACATTCAACATTTTGCGGAATGTCAAATAATTGATGCGACAGAAAAATGTCGACGTAGTTGGTAATGCGTCTCATTCGTTTTAATTGGAATATATATTGAATATTGTTGTTGTTTGGCGAAATGATGTCTCATTGGAAAATGTAATGGCATTCAGAAAGTGATATATTAAAAATAATCGCAATCGTCGTCAACATCTTTGTCGATATGAAAAATTCATTTTCTTCTCTCATTTGGCGTCATAAATTGAATTCGATGGAGATGAATTTGTTCGCATTGAACTTCTTGATGAATCAATTCAATTAACTCGACATTGCGACTACGTGATTGCATGTGCTGTTAAATCGCACTGAATGTCAACGAACAGTTCCAGCATATTTTCTGTTCGACGCCGAGTGTGAGAATGATCTCGGAAAATAGCGTATGTGTGTGTGTGTGTGTGAACACGGCATGTAATCATGTTTATTAGCTGATAAACTGAAGACACGTGCAACGAGCCAAAAATCATTGCACACACAGTCAGTGATTTGTGCCGAAAGATACGAAAACAACACATGAAGGGAAACAACATACACACTGTTTCACTTCATTCCCTTCGAATCGCTGGAACATCTCGCGACGATCATGTAGTGTACGCACTTATCAGAATTAAACGTCTGTCTATTCGCATGACATTATCATTCGTTCGAGATCTTTGTGTGTCGCATATATCAAAATTGATTTTTCGTTTGATGTTCCGCCGCAGTAATTTTCAGATTCGTTTTTTTTTTCTCAAAAACCAATATGGTTTTCAAAACCAAACATTAAATTCCAACCCCTCATATATTTCACTCATCAAATGTGACATTATTCGAAGGTTTTTGCGGTCTTCACATTATGAAAACACAAAATTATTACATCTTTTAATAATTACGTATTGAATGTCACAATTTTGAACATGAACAATTTTTCATGAGCAAATTTTCGAACGGATCGTTGAACTGCTATAATTTGATAAATACTTTGCATACATTTGGAATCTTTTGGTGAATTTTTCTGGGTGCTTGGTATTTTAGAAAATCTGACGAAAAGTTAATAACTTGTTATCAGCAGTTAATTATCATGAGCGTTGTCGTCGTTGTCAAACGAAACACATTTTTCGGTGGCTTTTGCTTAATAAGCTTACTGTCGCATTACTTGATTAACCACTCATTGAGTCACGTGTTTTAAATCAAAACGACCGACTACTTTACATTTTTGTATAGATCAAATCCGGACTACGTATCAAATTATTCCACATAGCGAAGGGGAAAAGATACATGATAATAGATTTTGGAATTGTTTTTAAAGGTTTTTCGGGAGTTATCTTACTCAATTGATTTTTGCGAGTTGAAATGTCGATATGATTTCATTCAATATGAAATGGTATTTGCGAGTTGAAGAGCCATATTTTGAATTAATTCTTTCTTTTTTGATACTATTTTTCAAACAAATCATACTTTTTTATCTCTTTATTTTCTTATAAATTAATCAAACCCTTTCCATTTCTCATTGGGTATATCAAAGTCCTTGTCCAAATGTTCGTTAAAAACTGTGTCCATCTGTTGATGCACTTGAAATCCGATAAATTTGAATTCATCAACTGTGCGCAAAAATGATATGAAAATCACTGTCACTGTTGTAATGCTCCGTTTTAAAAAAAAATCAATGTCTCATGCAAAGCTGCTGTTTTGTTTTTTGCTCATCCGTAACAAGAGTTGACGGAACTTTGTATATAAAAAAGCCATCAGATTCTGAAATTAAACAAATTCTTATCTCCCCTTTGTAATCAGTATATATATATCGGGATTACTCTTGTGCAGTTGTGTCCGATGGTACAAATGAAAAAAACACACACACCCACTCACAGTTTTTCGAATGAAATTTCAAGTGAGATGATGTCGTTCTATCTGTTGTTGTGGATGTACCGAGTTCGGTGTGCATGTTTTGTTCGTTTCCTTTTTTTCTGTTTATCAAAAGGCCACATCTTCCATGTGTAAAATGGCAATGGAACACTTGTTTGGTTGCTAAACACACAGGCGTACATGTACAATTTTCATGGATTTGAAGGTTTTCCAAGGATTTGTCACATTACACACAGTTTTGTCTTGTTTCCACTGTAGCCAAGTTTTTTTTTTATTTTCAAGTATATGCGAAAAAACTGAAAGTACATATCTGTTTGTGAGTGGTAAAGAGGGAACCGACGACGATTAAAATCGACTCGAAATGAAACAAACACAATTAGGCGATGAAACCTTATCAGTAAAACAGTCGTTTACGTTCTTTTTACCCCCGAAAAAAACTTGTCGAAGTTTTTTTGTAAGCTGGACACATTTATTTTTACAAATGGAAACATTTTGTCAAGTGTTTCTCTCTCTCGCTTTTTATAAATGAGTTTGTTTTCCGTTAATGTTTTAATTTGTTAGTTGTTGGGAATCACGATTTATTTTGAGTGAATGTAGAAAATGAACAACGAAAAAAATGCGCAAAATCATTACCGCGTAATAATTCAAGAGTGAATGTTTTTCAAAATTGGCAAAAGCATCTCAACCCACCTGGATGTTTGATGAAAGAAAAAGAGTTGAACGTTGGTCTCTTTCTCTTGATCGTGATTTTAAGTTTTTCAATGTTATAATTTAAACAAATCACATTTGAAAGCGAGGCGAAGGTAATTTTCTGTGTGATGTATGCTTAAAAATGTCGAGATAAATGGCATGCATTTCATTCTGGAATTCCGTGTTTCTTTTTTTCAACAAATACTCTGAACATATGACAGATCACGCATCATCACATTTTTTTACGACATAATTATTTTCGACGAAATCTCGTCC